AATCGACAATTTTTATTATAGGCTCTCAAATCTTGTAAATAATAATCGTGATAACACGGTACTCTCGTCTAAAAATTTAAATTATTAAAAGTATAAAAATTGGATTATAATTATACATTCGCCATCTTCTTGATTCGTTAATCGAATTTTACTTTTTGTTTTGATTAAATAAATTTTCTTGTTAAAGAAAATAATAACCCCATCCTATTAATACCTAAAAAAAATTAAATTATATTTTAATTAAAGAAAAGAAAGTCAATTAATTGTTAGTTTATTTATTCCCTTTAATAATATTATTACCTATTCGTTGCATTATGTGTCTTGATGTGCCATGGACAACGAATTCGGGTGCCTTGATACTTATTGCTACATTTATGGTTACATGTCATGCATTATAAGTTCGTACATGTTTGATTTAGCTAAAATAAATCAGAGTTTTAATAAATTTTGATAAAAATTGATAAAATATGTAATTAAAAAATCGATAAAAGTAGTGGATTCTATCAAATATGTGGTTGAAAAAAAATTGAATTTTAAAAACTAGGAGCCAAATATGTGCTTTATTGTCCTGGGGTGCCACACTTGCCCCTGTTTGACAACCATCATTTCAAAACTTTCAGTTCTACATACTCATTTTCAATCACACATTCACACAATTAAATATTCTACTCGTAAATCCAAAATTTTCTCTACTTTTTAATCATATATTTTCAAAAAATCAGTATTCAAAACTTCATTTTACCTAAATAATGATTTATTAGCTTAGATCATCCATGTTGCTATCTCGGAGCGTCAATGGTAAAAGTTCTCTTAAAATTTGAAAATATGTTTTAACCGAAAGAAAATCACAAATAAGTTTTTAAAAAAAAAAAGAAGAAGAAGAAGAAGAAGGAGCCCCCACAAGGTTTTAATTTTTCTAAAGGCAATTTTATCCAAGTTTTTATAAAAATTTAAAAAAAAAATGAAAAATAATAAGCTTGCGTGGGCTGCTTAACCGAATAAAAAGCATTGAGTTCTAAAGATATAAACTATCAGGTGTTATTGTCATTCCTAAAGGAACACATTCCTACGATACTATGAATCCAACCCAAACTTTGACATATTTAAAAAAAAAAAGAAAAATAATAAGCTTGCGTGGGCTGCTTAACCGAATAAAAAGCATTGAGTTCTAAAGATATAAACTATCAGGTGTTATTGTCATTCCTAAAGGAACACATTCCTACGATACTATGAATCCAACCCAAACTTTGACATATTTTATTTTCGTTTGGTCAGCTGTTTGTCTGTTTGAATAACCCCCACCCCCACCCGAACCCCCACCTCCATTTATATACATACAACAAGTATATGTACGCATCAAGATCATTGTTTTTAGTGATGAAGATGTACAGAATTGAAGAAAGATTGGCTTTCGAGGTGAAAAGTGATAGTCCATTAAAGAGTTTGATGTTCAGAAACTTTACTTTGAGAGGCGTACTTATGATGGTTATTTTAACACTATCACTCTTGGTGTTGCCACTGGTTCTGCCACCACTTCCGCCGCCGCCGCCATTGCTCCTCCTTGTCCCGGTGTTGTTAATGGCCATGTTGCTATTCTTGGCCTTTTCTCCATCACAAGTGCCTAATGTTGCTCTGATTACTTCTGTCTGAGTATATGTGTGTGTAAGTTTTATGTGCATTTTTAACGTTAGGTCAAATTGTTTGTTTAAATGAGGAAATAAATAGGAAAGAATTCTCATTCTGCAAGTGAAATATGCTTCAAAGAGAGCTGCATTTCCATGATTTTGGTGGATTATGTGGAAAACTGAAATTAATTTTTCTGATTAATCTTCTCTTCATGGATGATTATTAAAGTTGTGCAATTGTTGCTTATTTGAAAATCGGCCCCCAAGTATTGGTTAAAGAAATTCAAAGGCTCGAATCGAGGTTCAGACAATATACGGAGAAGTAGTTTAATTCTTTATAAATTTACTATCCCCTCCATGTTTAGTTGATATAATTTTATTATTATTTTTTTTCTCAACAATCTCGAGTTCACATCAACGACCTCCAAGGTGATAATTGTTATTTCTCTCTTCCTCAAATTAAGATGAACCACACGCTCTATCAAACCGAACCCTTCTACCTTTTGGATAGCCAATAAAGGATACTTCGACCTTCGCAATCCAACTTGGAGTCCCACCACTTTGATTCAACTGCAACTGATTGTGCATCTTATGTTCACATGATTAAGTTTGGTGTCTAGCTCTGATACTATTCATTAGACATTGAAGCTTCACCTCAAAATATTATGGTAAATGGTAATGCATGTGTTTCGCGTGGTTACTCGCTAACAATTAAAAGAGGATCAGCCGATTGTGTAAGGAACAAAGTCCCAAAAATGGGTGTTTATCGAATATGAAAATTGCAGTTTGGATACGAACAAGATGCCTCCAAGGAACGCAAGCACACAAGTACAAGGAGATGAATTAATTAAAGTTAATCTAAGAAAAAGCAAATTACATATTCTCTGTTTGAGTGTGAATTTTGTCGGGGCTTTTTTCATTACTTTCCTCTTCCTCTTATACTCTTTGAGCAGTTCTTAACCGTTTGGACTCTGTTTGTAACTACTAATTTCTTTCATAGTGGCTGACTGGCCAATAACTACTATTCATAACTCCTACCATTACGTTTTCTTCATAACCGTTTCTCACTAATTTTCTCAAATCGTGGGATGTAATCGTGATGTGCTCAAACCGCCTCAAATCGTGACTTTAGATAACAACAGGATTTAGTCATCGCTAGAATTCTGGGCGACGACTCATTCGCTCTAGGTGTCCATAGGGTACTTTATTCGCTCAACATCTGGGCGTTCTGCAAGTTTGGGCGACGACGTTCCTTTGCTTATGGGCTTTTACATTCTTCAATAATACCCTTTACCTGGGCTTTCATCTTGGATTCCCAACTGCATTTCGTTCTTTGGGCCATTTAATTTGGACTACACTTTTAGTGTGTCAAGCATGTTATATATCACCAATTACAGATTGATGAGGTGACAAAAGAAAGTGAGATTTTTTTTTCTTTATTTGGTTGATGAGATTTCGACTCAATCAAATATCTTCACATCATCTGTTGGTAAATAAATCTGTTAAGTTGTGATTAGAGGCTGATTTAGGGCCAGTCCCCCAGCCCATTTCAAATTTTTGTAGGTAAACAAAAATTATGTATAATTTTTTTTTTTTTTTTAGCTCGACATTATTTTTTTTTAAAGCTGATCCTGAATCCACCCTGGTTTTAATGTAGATGTAGCACAACCAAAAATATTAATATAAATCGATGTTGTGTTTGATGGATATTATAGAGGAAAAAATGTATTTTAAATAGTAATATGATGGGAAATATGTAATTAAAATGTAAGGAAAAGTTATTGATGTGATGAAAAATATTATTTTATTAAAGAATATGTGGTTGAAAATGAGTTTTGTAAAAATATATTTTAAAAGAATGTGTCTCAAACAGGGGTCGAATATCAACTTCATATCGAGCCAGTATAAAATTTTAAGCGCAATCTCCCTAAAATTTCAACCTTCAGATTTTCATGGAGTACAATATATTATTTATTAATCTCTTAAATTTTAAGGTGATACCACGATTAATATAGACGATATGATAGTATTCATAATGTATTTTCCACTGAATATTTGAATTATATTTTTCTTTTGAAGTTTTACATTTCAGTGTAAAGATGCAATGTATTAATTGAGTATCTCCATTTTGATGTGACATATTGAAGCTTGAAGCAATGTCCCTAACAGATATTTTTCTTGTTTTTGGTTGGAAGTCTGAATACTTCGTACAATTATTTGTAGCATTCTAACAGAAATGATAGTTTGTCTATGAAAAAAACAAACAACATTATACCAATTTCTGAGGAATTGTCTCGTATTTAAAAAATAATCATTCGCTACGTCGTCAAATAATTCAATTTTCTTTCACGAGCTATTTGCAACCGCACATAAATACGTTCATTTTCAAAATGTCCATAACACAATTTAACCTACGGCAAGAAATACAATATGTTACGAATTTCACACTTGTAATTTCAATTTTGCTCTCTTTTTTTTTCTCCCTATAAATAAGGAGCCATCATTGAGGTTTTATTATTATCATGAAATGTTAGAGAAAATAAATTGTTCGACTTTCTCTTGTAAATTTCTCTTCGTCGTAGTCAATTACTATAACGATGGAAGAAGACTCGATCTCACGTTGAGGCGAAAATTTATTCTATTTTTTGTCTGTAATGATTGCTCTTGATGTAATAGAATTAATGTTTCTAATTCTCGACATTGGACAATTTATAAAAATCTGCTCCAAATAATAAATATAGAGAAATATACCATGGAAATTGATGGTTGTACACTATGCTATACATCATGGTGTACAACCCCCCTCACATGTGAGGGGACCCCCCAATGAATAAAAAAATTTGTGGGCCCCCTCTGTGTGAGGGGAGTGTACACTATGTACAAGCATGGTGTACATATAGCATCATTCATATACCATACACAAATTACTAAATTTATCGAAGAATGGCCCCTGCGGAAGCAGCCACCCCGGGAGTTGAATTTTCTATAACACCCTTTTTTTCAGATTTTCATTTTTCAAAATGAGAAGCTGAAACTTGAAAGTAGTGATCTTAATCACAGAAAATAGTCTTTTATTTTGAAAATATATAACATCCTACATGCATATTCTGCAGCGTCCCTAAACAGCTTATGAAGCACAGAAACATGACCTCAAATATTCAATCAGTCGTCAAAGTGCAAGTTTTGTGCACACAACACCAGGTAGGACTAAAGTCTAGACAGTATTATAAACAAGATTTTAATTTATTTTTTTCCTTCATGCAGTCCAATAATATCTGATCCTAGCGATGGAAGAAGTTTTCGTGCTTAACATATGTAGGTCGGTATCTTTGCATGTACATGGTCAATCTTTCGAGTCTCGGGAGGGGGGGGGTCCTACGCGGACTGCAATGTCACCTGCCCGGTTGATGTTTGCTCATAGTCAGCACAAGCCTCCGGGGTGTCTTCTTCACTAGGTGGAACGAGCTGCCAAAAAAGTCGCAAATATTTGTCCCACTCGTTAAGAATGTTGGCGCCTTTGCTGCTCCCAGTTTTTTCCTACATACCAAGGTAAAAGTGGATATTATAAGAATTATACAGCAAGATATTCGAGTTCATGAATGGATTACAAGTTTAAAAGAATCCCAAAGATTAAGTTCCAAAAACAACATTGCCACAGATTTATTTGGGTATTTCAATGATACTTATTGTTATAGAAGTTGCATATCAGCAAGAAGGGATGTTATTATCGGAGACCAGACGCAAACCCTGAGAAAACTGTTCCATTCTTCCCCCTCCTCAAAGGGTGGTCGTGTACCAAATCACAAAAACGAAGTGCATTCAGTTCAAGAGTTCAACATTGTCAAGTGCAAAAAGCATAATCTAGCTTGGCAATTTAGGTCAACTTACAACATGAGCTTCAATAAGGCTCTTAAGCTGCATTTGGCCAACGGGAGCAACCACTCTCTGGATCTTCACTATTTCTTTGTTAACCTGGTAAAATTTTACATGGAATTACGGAAGAGTACAAATAATATAAGGGCGTACAAAAACGAGCAAATAGAGTAACTACATCAGACCAAACTAACAAATGGAAACCAAATATGCAGATACAACCTCGATGTTGACTTTAAAGCAATGTTTTAAAAGGGTCAAATATTGATCTGGAAAAGGTGAATGGTTAATGGGTTGCAACAAGGTCCATAATAAATTCACAAACATAAGTTAACTTTAATTTCTCAAAAATAACATTCGAACAACCATCCATTAAAGTTTTATGACATCGTAGATATCATAACAACATAGCATCGTATATGTCAGAACTCAATGGTTCCTTGACAATTTTTTTTTCTCTCATTTTATTGAAGTGCAGGAAACCTGGTCAACCTGCCCCATTTTTAAGATTTCTTTTAGGTTATAATCAGGCTGGTTTTTGGTTTTCCAAGTGAGCTCGTCAGGTCAATCCGATTCTCAAAACACTGCTTTAAAGTTAGAATTTTTTTCATATCATGCTATTGCTTGAATTTCCCACAGGCACAAAGTTTGTTGCCACAAACCTTGGGGATGAGAGTATCGTCCTCATCGAGAATGTAAGCCAAACCTCCAGTCATCCCGGCTGCCACATTTCGTCCCACCCTGACAAAAACAAGACAAAGTAACTCACAACTCGTGAAAGTTCTCATAGATATACTTTTCCCATAACTGAGAGATGACGTCAGAAGAGGATACTCACTTCCCGAGCACCACCACACAACCCCCTGTCATGTACTCACAACAGTGATCTCCTGTCCCTTCTACCACAGCTTCAGCGAGCGAGTTTCTCACAGCAAAGCGTTCGCCGGCTTTTCCTCTAACAAAGACCTGACCACCTGTGGCTCCATACAAGCAGGTATTCCCTACTATGGTGGCATCCTCAGGGCAAAACCCAGTATTTTCAACAGGAACCACAACCAGTTCACCTCCAGCCATACCCTGAAGATAAACTGCTCCATAAGCTACTATAAAGTAACAAGTATGACAAAGTTCTTATCATTAAGAATTTCATAAAGGCAACACTCAAAAAACAACAAATATAGAAATAGTGGCTCAAAGCTTGCGAATATCTTACAATTCATAACCAATAGGTTGAACAGAAATACCTTCCCCACATAGTCGTTAGCTTCTCCAACAAGTCGGATATTCATTCCAGGTGTCAGAAAACAGGAAAATGACTGCCCAGCACTCCCTGTGAATCTACATACAGAAAAAAAGGAATACATCTTTAGTATCGAGCAAAGGTAATACACAAAGATAAAAATTGACAGAATGTAATTTCTTTCACAAAGAAGTTGTATTACGTTATATTCAGCTGTCCAGCAAAACCAGTATCTCCATATTTTTTTGCAATTACACCTGAAATACGCCCACAAACTGCCCTATCCACATTGTATATTTTTGCAGTTTTATTGACCACCGTTTCATTCTTAATTGCCTCTGATATCTGCATGTAGAAAAGTATATATTTGGATCATTAAGACAGAAAATAACATAGCTTTATACGAACACAAAATTCACAAGAAACGCAGAAGAAAGTTCAAACAATGCTATCTCATTCATCAATGACATGTTATCTACTAATGGAAATGTTATTTTGGTGTAACTTTATCTCAAGCTCAATTTAGAAGCCTCAAGACATCTGTGCAAAAATTTGATTATATGTGTTCATCTACTACCTACTCATCTCCGAACTCCTATTTAAAAAAAATGGCATCTTCTTTTTCTTAATACACAAACATTAAGGTCAAGAACTATGTACAGTACTGCAGCAAGGGAACTATATGTTACTTGTTACAAACTACCTGAACAATAAGTGAAAAATCTTTATTCATTTACTATCATCCTAAAATTTATCACAAAATCCATTACGGTTTGAGAATGTAACTTGTTGAAGAAATTTTACGAAAAATTGTTTTCCCTAATTCACTGAAAAAGAAAAGTGATAAGTAGACACTTGGTCAGAAATGAAATACACCGCTGCCCTATGTTATCTCTAAAAGCAGGAATGCAAGACATTACTAGCCAAATTTGTAACAAACAATTAATGAATTCGATGCAAAGATCTTTGATTAAAAAGTTTTTTTTTTTTTTGGTTAATAGAAAAGTGCTGTTTTAATTTAATAGTTGTTACCTCTTGATCTGAAAGCAAGATATCATCCAAAACTGGACCATTACTGTGCACTTCCTGATTCCTGATCATGGTGCTGGTCCATTTTGGTAATCCAACATTCTAGGAACAAAACGACAAAATGATTTTAAAAAATAGCATTAACTCATTAAAAAATGGATCAGAAGTAGATATCATATACTTAGGCACCGTTTGGTAACCATTATTCTAGAAAAAAATGCATTCTTTGTGTCAAATCACACCTTTTTTGTGGTTGAAAATGAAGGAAAAGTTATTGATTTGATGGAAAATATTATTTTATTGATGAATGTGTTTGTTTTAAGTAATAATTTTTAGAAAAATGTGGGATTGAGAATTAGAGTGTGTTTGAGACACATTCTTTTGAAAGAATGTATTATTGAATAGTAGATTGATGGAGAATGTGTGGTTAAAAATGAAGGAAAAGTTATTGATTTGATGGAAAATATTATTTTATTGATGAATGTGTGGTTGAAAATTAGTAGAAGAATGAGAATGAAAAAAAGAATGGATACCAAACAGAGGCTTACAGAAAGAATATAACTAAGATCAAGATGTTGAGTCTTCATCAGTGAAATATCTCGAGGTCTTAGCAAATCGGTGTGTCCAATTACATCATCCAGTTTCTCATAACCCAGTTGAGCCAACATACCCCTTACCTGACAAAAGATAATTGACTGAGCATCAGCATATGCATATAAGAAAAAAGACCCTTTTATAATCACTGATGGGTTCACAATGTTGGTGGCTATTAAATATCAAATCATACCCTTTCCGCCACAAACTGGGTTAGCATGTAAAATGTCCAATTATCTAGGAAAAATCAACGTGAAACTTTATAAGCATAAGGAGTTTAAGAACATTACTCTCTCGTTATTGGATCATAATTGGAAGAATGTATTGCATCTTTTACTTGACTTTTTTTTTTTTTGGATTATGAGAGGATTTATTATCATCTTATTATTTGAAGTTATGCTTCGATAATAATAAAATTAAGTTTCTTAACAAAAAAATAATAATAATAAATCCAAGTCATGGGAGTATTTGTTTCTGAACTTTCCTACCCAGTATTATGTGTTATTTTTTAAGGGGTGAATGTTCTAGAACTAGAGCATCAGGTAGGAGGGATTGATAGGCTCATAGGCAAATGCTCAGAAGCTATATTCTGGTGAGATTTTGATTATACTCGAAAAAAGGCATCTATCTTGTTAGTTCTGAATCCAACATCAGGTAGGAGGGACTGACGTGTAACTTTTCATGAGATCAAAGGCACAAAATTTCAAGAACCCTGAAATAACTAAGATTGAAGCATCCTGAAAAAAAATAATTCCATTAATCATATTTAACATAGCAATGGAAATTACCTCTTCCGCAACATATAAAAAGTAGTTGACAAGGTCACCAGGTACACCAGGAAAACGAGCTCTTAATTCTTCTCTCTGAGGAAAATTCAACCAGTTACGTTATCAATTGAAAAGCAAAAAATTCTGACATTTCAAAGGTGAAAAATAAAAATAATATTATCTAGGATTCCTCTCACCTGACTAGCAACACCAACAGGACAATTATTTGTGTGGCAGATACGAGCCATAACACAGCCAGTAGCAATCATAGCTATGGAACCAAATCCATACTCATCAGCCCCCATTGTTGCAGCCATTAAGACATCAAACCCACTTTTAAAGCCACCATCTACCCTGAGAAGGACCCTTTCTCTGAGCCCATTTTGAATGAGTGTCTATAACCCGCCACCCAAACCGGGAAAACAAAAGAGAGGGAGAAATAGAAGTTAGATAGATTTCAATGAATGAAGCATGAAAAGGAAGAGTATCTCATGTTTGAAAGGTATAAAAGAACCTGGTGTGTTTCTGTAAGCCCAAGTTCCCAAGGACCGCCTGCGTGCTTGATGGAACTCACAGGGCTAGCTCCAGTTCCCCCATCGTGCCCTGATATCTGCAGAAGAGGCCAAAAAATGTATCACTAAATGTTGTTAACCATATCCTATTTAAGACTACAAGGTCCACACAAGAATGATGGTTCTCAAGAAAAAATCTGTCTGTTGTACAAAGAAACTGTGTGATGTTTTTATTACCTTCCAGATAATTTGCATACGGATTTGCATTTCAAGAAATGGCATCATACAAGACGGTAAATATAAAAAAATTGGGGGGAAAAAAGGTGTAGCATAAAGCATTAAACAGGTAGTAAAACAAAGTGCATATTTGAATTGAGACCAAAACCAAAAAAATTTAAAATAAAATATCAGGGCTAAACAGAAAATTTTCTTTGGGTCTTCTATTAGATAGATAAGATGAATCTTACAACTTTAACTTCAGAATGGAACATAGATGGATGGTAATCAATGTCACCTGTATAATATCAGCATTACCCTTTGCAACTCCAGAAGCCACAGTACCAATGCCAGCTTCTGCCACAAGCTTTACAGATACTTTAGCCTTAGGATTGACCTGTTCATTGATAGCAACGTGAATCTCATAGTTCTGGCAAATAGACGCTTTACGAGTATAAGGAGAACAAATTGCTGCAAAATCTTTACCTGATGAAGGTCGAAAATTAATTGAGCAAGATCTTCAATAGAATAAATGTCATGGTGTGGAGGTGGAGATATAAGAGGGACGCCGGGCTTTGAATTTCTTAGTCTTGCGATATAAGCGCTAACTTTTTTCCCTGGCAGTTGGCCGCCTTCACCGGGTTTTGCACCTTGAGCAATTTTGATTTCTAGTTGATTGGCATTAACCAAAAATGTTGGAGTGACACCAAAGCGCCCAGAAGCAACCTGAAGAATTAAATTCAATAACCACAATAATTTTATCATTCACTAGCGTTTCACATATCTTTGTTCATAAGTTAACAGTTGTGCATGTGGAAGAATGTTATTATTGGATGGCATTTAGACCTGCTTGATGGCACTTGTAGCCATATCGCCGTTTTGAAGACCTTTTAAATGTGGCAATGTTGGAGAGTACCCATCTTCAACATCAGTAAGTGGACTCCAGCGGATTGGATCCTGGGTGAAGGTGGAACTTTAATTACTTTAATACTAATATTATATTAATTAGAAATTAATATATCATAATATAGTTTTTTGGATTAAAAATGGATACAAAATTTTATAGTTTCATTCAACGAGATACAGGTACTTAGCTAGCAGTTCTGACCTGATCCAGTCTACACGATTTGAATAAAGATTACCTCGCCTCCTTCTCCAGAATTAGATTTCCCACCCAATCTATTCATAGCAATAGCAATCGCTTCATGAGTTTCCCTGGAAATTGCTCCTAGTGACATTCCACCAGTGCAAAACCGCTCAACAATTGATGAAGCAGGTTCGACCCTTCCAACTGGGATCGGGGAACGATCACTTTTAAACTCAAGGAGATCTCGGAGAACCTGCATTCATGGCATGATTGTTATGTTTGACTAGACACTACCAGATAGAATTAAGAAAGAAAAAACAAGTTAAAATCTTGTATGTTTTCCCGTATGATACTGTCTAGCACTTCCTACCATTCTTTCAACAAATAATATGATCATGCAGTCTAAAAACTAGTGCATACTATAATCTTATACTGAAGTTAAAGGTCTAGGAAACGTAGACAATGCAGAGTTAAAGGTCTAGGAAACTTAATGAAATAAATCATTACATCACAACAGCAACTCACATTTACAGGTCGGCTAGCCAAATGCTGCTGATAAATCGAATACGCACTTTCACTTTTTTGGCGAACGGCTTTGTGGAGCAATTTTGACATCTCTGGATTGTTACTATGATATTCACCTTTCATTAACAAGAATAAGTATTTATCACTGTAATGAACGAGTCTTAAAGTTTTGTCAAATGGAAAACTAAATTTTTGGTACACATGAAAGTTGAGAATTCTGATCATATACCATAATTTTTATGTTTTTGTTGTTTTTCGAAGCTATGGTCATGCAAAATTGAGTTAACCACATATAAGATACTCATGCATACAAGCATGTGCAAAAATATTTACCTCCTGGTCTAAATTGTATGAAACCAAAATTTTCGAGTCTTTTAGCTGTATCTTCAGAGAAAGCCTTAACCCAAAACGACAAAGTTTCCCTTGCCAACTGCAAGAATTGCTATTGTTAATGCAAGCAGCAACAGAAGATAAATATTTCTACATCGCTGACAAATATGGAACTGCATGTATTGAACTGTACGTGGGCAAAATTATCAGAAGAATGAATATTGGGTCAACAAACCTTGGCGCCATCTATATAGTCTTATCATGTAAATTTTGTCATTGAAAGCATGTTTGGGACGACTTATTTTAAAGATAAGTTTCAAACTGTGGCTTATGTTGGCTTATTTTAAATGTAGGTTGGTCTACATTAAAAATAAGCCACATATTTGTTGCTTATCTATAAGATAAATCACCCCAAACATTATCTAAATAATTTCAGTTATCTAAAGCAGCCTTTACGCATCAGATGTACAAAAGACGAGCCCTCAACAATTATATTAGCACCAGTGGTCATACAAGAGCCCCAAAAAAAAAAAAAAAAAGCATGACAGCACAACTAGATATTTAATTCTTATGGTGATTACCTCATCCAAGGTTAATCCACCAATGCTTGACATGCTCCCACAGAATGCAATATCAACAATCTCTTTGCTCAATCCATAAATTTCAAATATCTGTGCACCACAGTAACTAAAGCCAAATACATTTAAGTTAGATTTATAGTGTAAAAGAAGGAAAAATGACAAGATTGTTACAGGATGCAATAGCTAGGAAAGAAGAAGCTACAATTAAAAAAATGCTATGAAGCAGACAAATACCTTGAAAGCAACGAGATGCCCATTTTGGAGAGAATTTTCATAAGGCCGGATTTAACTGCCTGGAACAGAATTTTAGGAATAATCATTTTCCACTCATAATAATCAATCAAAGATTTCCTCAAAACCACGAGAACAAAGAGAAAACACTTGAGTTCCAAAATTAGAAAAGAATAATAGCCAGAGAAGAAATAAGAACAATTTTTGGTAAAAATTTGAGAGTAAATAACGCGTATATACTTTTATCATCATAATGTTGAAGAACTTAGGTTCAAAAAACTATTATGCACTCTATCAAAAAAACACAAATTGGAGAATCCAAAATAATAAATTTGCAGGCAGATTTAGTCAAGTTCAACATGCATTTTCATGCTCAAATAGTAGGATGTAAATGAACTATAATCTCCAATAATATTTTGTTTTGAAGAGCATTACACTCAAGTAACCCATTTTTTACATGAAATTCAGCCTTGATAGACTTCCATGATAGCAGAGCAAATAGGACAATAAAAAAAATAAACATGAAGGAAAATAAAAATGGGGCATCAATTATCTTTCAAGGAAATACAATGTCTATGAACACAACAAGAAGGACAAGAACATTAAGCCTTTGTTTGACACACATTAAAATTTTCATTCTCATTCTTCTACTCATTTTCAATTACACATTCTTCAATAAAATAATATTTTTCATCACATCAATAACTTTTCCTTCTTTTTCAACCATATATTCTCCATCAATCTATTATTCCAAAATACATTCTTCCAAAATAATATCCATCAAACACACCCTAAAAGAGGAAACGTATCAAAATCATTATAACCAGAACGTATGTATATGTACCTTGCAGAAGTTCATTTGAGCTTGTTCAATTGTGACAGAAGGCATTTTCCCATTCCGCATCAGGTTAACAGTTTTAGTGCTTAAGCGCCACTGACGGCATGTCTCCAGTGCTAGGTATGGGCATGCAGCACTACAAAGATATATCAAATGAAGGGAAATAAAATGGTGATTGAAACATTAAGAAGATGCAGCAAAGTTAATCAAATTATTAAATTGAATGTTGTTGATAAAATTATTTTAATCAATGGCATAAAGCTATGCAGTTAGTGAAAACCAATCTTCAAATATTGAGCAGCGAAAGCAAATAAGGGAATGTTTGGTACATAGTAGTGGATAGGACTAGGGGCCATTTGGAAGGGCTTTTGAAAAGTCAAAAGTGGCTTTTGAGATTAAGAAACTACTTCAGTCATATTTTGAAAATTTTCTAAAAGTGTTTTTTGCGGTTAGAAAAGTTATTTCTCTTCTATAAAAGCGGAAGCCTTGTTGAACGGGACTGATAAGTGTATTTTGTACACTTATCTTAACCGTTAAATTAGAGCAATTATTGTTATTTTAAATGAATTGAGGCTTAATTTTGTATATATTTCGTTTGTTAGGCTCATCTCGATGAAAAACGATGAATTGGACAAAAAGAGCGAAAATTGGCTAAATTAGACTTAATCCAAAGTTTGGGGACTAAATCACAAAATGCTAATAGTTGATTCGAACCTAATGTTGATGATTGATGAAGGGGTGGAGATAATTAGATGGAATTGAAAGATAAAGGACCAAGAAGATATAAAAATGGGCTAAAATGAGTGGAGAACGAAATTGAGGAATCAAAATGCAACAAAAGAAAAAGTTTTATAACAGTGTGTGCGCACGCAGGCCAATTCTCGCGAGTGCGTGACACACTAAGTCCCATTTACCGAGAATAAAAAATCCTACGGCACGCGCAGTGAAGTATATGGCGTACGCGAGGGCCATTTCTCTGCTTGAATGACCCAACTTCCTCTTTTGATCCAAACTCTTAAGAAATCAAATTCAACCTACTATTTAACTTACAAGGGACGGCCAGAACGAAGCACCATATATTAAACTTTGTTTTTCACCACAAGAAGGAGACTAGTACGGGATTTAAAAGTAATTAATATAAGAGATTGAAGATTCAAAGTCGAGGTTGAAGATTAACGAAGAAGATTTTTCACTTTCCAATCATTATTTTCAATTCTGAGCGATGTTATTCACAAAAATAGTGTAGTTTACATAACATGCTAGGGTAATTCTTTTTATGTATTAAGCCCCTGTTTGGGAGCCATTTTGGCCCCATTTTAATAACAATTTTGACCATTGGTATGTCGGTGGGACCTGCCTGCCGCCATTAATTTCTGATTGCAATAATTCCACTTTCCCAAATTGCCATTAGTTTAGGTAAGAATGAATTTTGTATAAGGGCAAACTGGTCATTTGACGTCATTTTGGTCAAAAAATTTAGGCCCACCTCCCTGACACTTACTGTATAACGGCTACATTTTTTCTACAATTTGGAGGAAGAATGGCTCCCAAACAAGGTCTAGATGTAGATGAAATCTTTTATTATTTATTTTTAATTCAAGACGAATAGTTAGTTGAATTCTCGTGTTTCTTGATTAATCTTGCATGCTTAACTTGAATATTTGACTACCTGATCACCAATTAAATATATAGTTGCTTGTTGTAGTGCTAGGAGGCTCACAATAGGTCTAGAACACTACTTGATTAACATACATGCAATGGATATTAGAAATAATGTTTATCATGTGTACAATCTCTGAGGTAATCATGAAATTGAATGCATTATATTCATTTGAATTTGGATAGGAATAGATTCGGGTCATGACTATAATAGATTTAATTTGTCTTGAAAAAAAAAATTAATTACAATAGAATTATCAATTGTCAAGAATGCATGAATGAAACTAACTACGTAATCAAGAATGAAATAGATAATAATAGGCGGATTCGAAATCTAATACAATCATCCATAAATTGATAAAAATTAAATTTTACATGTTTTCGTAGATTAATTTAGAATAATTACAAATTCACATTTCTTTCGTTTTAACACATTGAATCTAATTTGAAGCTAGTACACTTTGATTCAATTTTATTCCCTTGGGACGATACACGTTACTCATCACGTATTACTTGTCAATGATGACGTACGCTTGCGGTTTTCGCACAAACATGGACAATAAATAAAACTTCAGCTTATTTTTCTTTTTCTTAATCACATCCAATACTATCTAATCTTTCATATCAAACATATCGTAAAGATATAACGGTCACATAAAATGGAAGTACCTGGCACCGTATCCAATCAAACACGCAAACTGATGAGTACTGAAGCACTGAGCAGTATCAGCAACAATAGAAGCTTGCATTCGCAGTCCATTCTGAATTAGATGCTGATGAACAGCACCCACAGCAAGAAGTATCGGAATTGCAGGACGAGTTGCCTCCTAACAAAGATAATAATCATTAGAATGGATAGCCAACTATTAGAAGATTTTAAGCCGAATCAAGAAGAAAAGATATAAAAAGAAAATCAGCATTGAGCAAAATTTTCTGTGGAAAAATGTTAGCCAGCTCATTTAAAGCTTAAGTTGTTAAAGAGCAGCCCCATTTATTTATTAGAATTGGTCTTCACCACAAACTCCTCAAATGGAGGAGGGATTCATCTTTTCACCAAAGGTCAGTAACGTCCACTATTTTTTATATGGTGAGATGTGAAGTTTAAGTCTTTTGTGTGGCTATTATATCATGTTAGCAATCTTGTGTGAAAAGGTTAAGCTATTAGAGACGGCCCAAATTTATTTATTTATTTAAGTTTGATCTTCAACAGAAAATGAGAACAATCAAAATCCACCAAGCAAACAAGTTTTTCCTTTAAACCGAATAATAGGAACATCAAACTTCAAAGAGACATTGCAACAAGATAGTAACAATATGAGTGTTGGAACTTTGACTATTAGATGTAAGTATAACTGCAGAATTCGTCAAAAAAAAAAGAGGTGACAACAAGCATGTATTCATTCTGTAGGATATTAGAACGCAATTACTTGTCCTGTCCCAGTGCAATAGTTTATATTTTCAACGCTAACAAATTTCTTTTTCCAGGATTCAAGTTCCTAGTGGTGATTGAATGGATTAAGAACTGGGATATATGCAACAGATGGTATGTTTCCCTAAAAACTTGGAATTCCACTAAAGACACATTTATTAGGATAGACAAAGTATGACTTGGAAAGAATAGTGGCTAAACTCTTGTAGCATGTTTGGTAGGGAGAATAGGGTATTACTTGATAGTATTAAAGAAGAAAAAGAATTTAAAAACATGTTCATTATATTGTATAGTCCTATCTAGTGTTGCTTAACAAACATGACTTGAACCATAATGGGATCCACAGGTCTGGAAATGTGAGGTGTGTAATGACATTGCAGTTGACAAGTACAAAATAATAAAATAACAGTGTGCTTACCAGCTCATCTGACCTGTCAGATAGCACAAGCAGATGGCAACCGTTTCTAACAGCTTCATCGGCAGCTTCACACAGCTTGTACAATGTTTTCTCTAAGGACCCATCAACCCCTTTCCCGATATCAAAGAATGTAGGCAAAACTTGAGATTTCAAGTATGGATCTTTCAATAAAGACTCAAGGTCCCCTTCATTCAGCACAGGGCTAGACAAAATCACCTGGTTGAAAAATTCAACTTAGTTCCAAACAAGAAGCAAAATGACAAAAGAAAGTGTATAAAAGCTTGAAGACTATACGTGGCATGATATCAGAAGATATAAAAGAACTAGAAATGCAAAAGAAGAAAACCTGAGACGCATTCTCAGGACCAACTTCTAGTATGTTTCCTCGCTTCCCAAGGTTGACTTCCAGAGACATGACCAATCCTTCTCTAAGAGGATCAATAGCTGGATTTGTAACCTGGTGTTGTACATATACGGAGCCACCTTATGAATGATATAGCTTTAAAGATTCGGCATAAAGATACCACAAAAAAAGGTAAATTTGAATATCTTCTAGAACAAATAACAGAAAAAGAAGCTACCGAAAGTATGTTTGGCTGAGCTTAAAAGGTCAAGTAAATAAGTAGTTTTAAAACAAATCATTTTTTTAGTGATCAAAGAAAATAAATAACTCTTTTTATTTAAAGGTGAGAAAAAAGCATGTAAACAAAATTTTACATTTTCTTAAGCTTTACCAAACATGCTCTGAATCTGTCCACATTATACAAGTACAAGTACCATTTGCACGCCATGGATTTAACTGAAACTCTTATTATTTATACCTCATAAAAGTGCTATATCACATATTGGATACCGTTAGTAATCATACATTAATTTAAGAGTGCCATGACTATTGAAAGATCTGTATAAATAAAAATTATGCAAACCTGAGCAAATCGCTGCTTGAAATAATCGAATAGCATATGCGGTTTTCTAGACAATACTGCCAAAGGAATATCATCCCCCATGCAAAAAGTAGGCTCCTTCCCTTGAGAAGCCATTGTTTCAATTACCATTTGAACATCCTCACTAGAATAGCCATGTGCCCTATAGTCATCAATAATTAAGATATAAAAGTTATGACAGTCAAAAGATTAAGAGCATGTTTGGCTAAGCTCAAAAAGTATATATATAAATGTAATTATAAGTAAATAAGCAATTTAAAACAATTTTTTTTTTAATAATTGGTTAAAGCTGGATATAATTTATTTATTCTGAAAGCAAATTTACTTTCAAAATAATGAACGTTTTTTACTTGGGGAGAAATAAAATAAACAAACAAAAAGTGACTTTCACCCATAATGAGCCAAGAGACTTGGTAGATTCATTTTCTGAAAATGCTTGTGACACATTTTAAGCAGACTTCATTTCTCTCTTTGGGAGGGGGGTGTACACCTTCCATCTCAAGTTGTTCGTCACACCTCCTTTTGGTAAAAAAGATGAACAATGCTTTCTTTTGCACTCACAACCTCGAGATCACTATTTTCAAATCTACCTCAGCTTTCTACCACAAGTTCTACTGAACTTGAGCAGGGAAATTTGAAATTTTAAATGTAAACGTGTTTCCATTTTTAGACAATAACGTTCTTTTTGAGATTGTGTTATAGATCAAGTCACATACATATCCAGCTAAGAGCTGAAATATCTAGAGCATCTAAATCCAAAACACTCAAGATATAAGTGAAGTAAAAAAATCCAAAAGACTTACTGTTGACGTCTTAATATTGCTTCATTGTCCACAAGGGTTGCTGAAAGAAAGTTCACAGGTTTAAAAAATCGGAGGTTTTCGCTCACCCACTTTCCATAAGGATTTGATAATGCTACTTGCTTTTTAACCTCTGCATTCTCATACACCTAATAAGAATAATTAAGAAACTATAATCAATGGCAAAGAAACATGTAATATAAATTATAAGCTCTGTATATGAACGGACTGTCCTACTGTTAAGAATAAGAAAAACTTCATTGTAACACCATCAAAAGTACAAATATATAATTCTCTTCACAAACCTGACCACTAGGTAGATTAACAGCTATCATCATTCCAGGACCCAAGCGCCCTTTCATTACGACTTTTGAATCATCCACTGGAAGGACCCCAACCTATAAAAAATAGGATAAAATGTAGACCATAAAATTTTATTGTCTCCCATAAAAAGGCACAAATAATGGACAGTTTTGCCATCCAAGCTAGCTTATATTCTATGATGAAGAAAACATACTCACCTCAGAGGCAACATAGACAACATTGTCTACTGTTCGCCAATATCTAGCAGGGCGAAGTCCATTACGGTCAAGACAAGCTCCAACTGTTTTTCCATCACTGTGGCAAATGATGGCGAACAAAGATGAGAACTGTAAGCTAAGCCTTACTCCCAATAGAAAAACAAAAATGAGTATATTACCGTGAGAAATCAAATAGACAAAAAGCAATTACTTAGGTTCCGCTTGCATGATTGATGAAATACTGTAAAATAATGCAATCAAAATTTGCTAATGTCGAGATCCACATCATCTAAACTCCTTAATAATGATGAAATATATATGATATAAGAGCTGCTGCATAAATGTCAAATAATAGGACCTTCACTTGGAAAGGTCACCTGAATAACAGTAATGCAGGTCCATCCCAAGCCTCCATTTGACCCTTGTAGTAGTCATAGAAATCAACTATCTGAAGAGAAAGAATAGTCAGGCATGTCTACCAGGACTTACAATTGAAGTACTTCACTAAAATCACATATCAGACTTCATAACTTAATCAGTCAATTGGTGAGACTTTGACATTAGTGCATAAAACACAAAACATTGCAAATTAACCAGCATGAAGAAATAGTTCAGTAATTAAAATAAAGCTGTAACGGGTAAATGACCTTTGTCAAAAGCATATATTACTTATACAAGATAAATAATACCTCGGGATATTTGATCGCCAATGTTGGATGATTTTTGTATGCCTCCGGAACAAGAATCATCAGGGCTTCCTCAGGAATGCGGCCACTTCTTATTAACAACTGTTTAAAATATACATTAGAAAATTATTTCCTCCTAAATACATTTCTGGGAACGACAATGAAAAGCAATAAACCATACTTCTGCAGCACTATCAAGATTTGCAGAATCAGATGCTGTAGGGTTTCCAAAAGGGCGGATTTCATTTTCACGGCCACGCCAGACAGGAGATTTCAGTGAAGCCTCCCGAGATTGCATCCAGTTCAAGTTCCCCTGCATTTAATTTTCGGTCTCAATACAACGAACAATCAGATAATGTGTGAGAATGAATATCACTAAAACACTTTAACCTGTATAGTATTGATCTCTCCATTGTGACCAAGGAACCTCATTGGTTGAGCTAGTGGCCATCTAGGACTAGTATTCGTACTGTATCTCCGGTGGTAAATAGCAAAGGGGGATTTATAAAGATCATTCTGTAGATCAAAATAAAATTTACCAAGAACCTCTGAACGAAGCATTCCCTTGTACACAACAGTTTGATTGGATAATGAGCAGAAATAAAGTTCATTTCCCCAAGTCTCCGAGCTGGCTGCTCTTTCAATCAACTTCCGACAGATATACAGTTCTCTTTCAATGTCATCGATATTTTCTTCTTTAGCAATTTGTACAAAGACTTGTTGTATGTTCGGCATAGTTTCTCTTGCATAATAACCAACTATAGAAGTATCTACGGGTACAGATCTCCACCCAAGAACTTCAAGACCCTCTTGTTTAAATATATTCATAATAACTGCATACAGAGATAAAAGTTTCTGAAGATACAGTCTTCAGAAGGAAAATCATATAAAAATAACAGGATATACTGCTTAAGTAGTGTTGAGGAACAGATTCAATTGAATTTTCAAATTTCAAAACTATGCACATATATGGAACTAAATAGAGTTCTAACAATCACAGGAATTGCATACGACAGTTGCTCCTAACTCCTAAACGAAATAATTCCAATGCTTACATTAACATGGAATTGGAGACTTTTTCTTGTATGAAATTATAAATGTAATCCTCAAATGCATATGTCCTGAAGTTCAAAATTCCATGAATTTCTCAACAAAACAGTAATCACAAACAACTGGAATACTCATGATGTAGTCATCTATTAATTGATAGCTCAGTGTCAAACTGTAGACTGACTAACCTGTTTGGGCTTGTTTCATAAGGTCATCATCCTTCGGAAGAAAGATCATTCCAACACCAGTATGAGCCTGGTCCAAGGCACCAATCCCTTGTTCGTTAGCCCAGTTATTGAAAAGCTCCCATGGAATTGAAGTCATGACTCCAGAACCATCACCAGAATCATTATCAGCTCCACAACCTCCACGATGTTCCATGCATCCAAGAGCGGTAAGGGCATCTTTAACTATCTCATGCGATCCTTTATTTTCCAAGTTGGCAATAAATCCAACTCCACATGCCCCTCTTTCAGATAATATATCTTCCAAGTTTGCAACCTAAAACCATAAACAAGTTCACCGTGGTGAAATAGCAGTAAATGAAGCACTTCATCCAAAAATGAATGACCTAAAGAGATGCCAACAAGAAATATAAGAAAATGATACTTGTGAGCACTTGTGAGATATAAAATAAATTCCCTCTAGTAAACCTGATCTCATATTTCTACAAAACCCATTCTTTTTACATGTTGGAGCAAGGATCTCGTAATTATCCATTACTGTTAACGTCTCTAGCATGATCACTTGTAGAAGTTGGAGGGAAGTCAAATGCCTTCACAATTTACCAACGTCAGTTTCTAATCAACCTTTGGATCCTTCCATGCAGCCTACTTTCCATCATTTGATTTTGCATTATGCAGCATGTATTAGTTTGCTGGTTTTAATTAATAGATTTGGAGGGAAAAAATTAAAATTATTAGCAGCAAAAAGCGTTTTAGTCAAAGGGTACTTCTTTTTCATTCATTTGTAATCCTTATCAATGTCTCTATGATTAGCTAGAATTTCTTATTGTTCTTCTACATCAGTAGACGGTACTAGTACAGCAACACGCAGAAAAAAGACTGAGAGCATGTTTGGCTAAGCCTAAAATAATTAAAGTTACAAAAAAAGTAACTTTTATGCTCAGCTAAAAAAGGGACTTTTCCAGGAAATAACCTGCCAGTGCCACTTTCACGCTCAGTATTTCATAAGCATTATAATTTCGAGGATTGAAAATACACAAACATACACAGAGGGGGAAGCAGAAGTGGAATTAAGCCAGTGACCATTTAAGTCAAAACAAAAAGAAAAGGACTTTTCCAGGTAAGAACCTACCAGTATCACTTTCACATTCAGTATTTTAATAAGCAATATAATTTCAAGAATAAAAAATACACAAACATACACAGAAGGGGAAGCAGAAGTGCAATTAAGCCATCGATCATTTAAGTCAAAATGCAGCGGCCGCCGCCAAATAAATAATGTCCCTCCAACAATAAAGGGACGAAAGAACTACTAATTAGCACAACATTCCCATTTCTGTAATCCCAGGAATCATTGTAAGTTCAGGAAATTAAATAACAAATGGCAAAACATACCCCTTCCAACACAAGAAAAAAAGGGAAAAAACACACACACCTTGGGTTTCAAATCAGAAGACCGGTGAAGTGAACCATTGTTAACACGTTCAACGTCAAGAACGGACTTAATGGAGGCCCAGTTTTTCTTCAAACCAAGAAAACGCCTTTGCACATTACTATTATTTACACCACCAACTCTCCTGCGAGTACTTGGCGAGTTTATTTTCGTTTTCTTTCCACTAGAAAACCCAACAAAATCAGCGAAAACCAAGTCTTTATTGGTATTAGCAATCCCATTCCCAGCAAAGAGCTTAACAGACTGCACCACGTGCGCTGAGTGTACAGACATCTTTCATATACCTTCTTCACTTATACACCAAGTGTGTGTTTGTGTGTGTATATAACACACGCAATCTGTATATATATATATATGATCGGGGTTCAGGGCTGTTTGTGAATGTGTTGTTAGGAGTGGAGAGAAAGAGAGAAAGAGAGTGTGAGGTATGTGTGGAAATGGAAGAACGTGGATTTGAAGATAAAAGAAACGCTTTGAGCCACCCGCATTCAATTTGGATCCTGGCGTCCATTTTTCGACTCTACTGATGATGTTAATTTTTTTATTTTTTAAAATTTTGTGCGCTTTAAACGTAATTTTTCTGGTCATGACGTTTGAGATTTTCTGAAAATTATTAGCTCATGTTTGAAAAAAATTATAATTGCTTATATGTTTATCAGACTTTACTTTTTTGAGTATGTTTCATATGATCTACAACTCTTATTATTTATTATCCACCATTTTATTGGGTTCACGGCTTATATAATTTAAAAGCCAGTTTGTTTTCCAACAATTGTTTGAGCCCCATTTTTATTGAAAAAAAAATAAAAAATATTCTTGAATAGTGTTTTGACATCATTTCAACCACATATTTTTTAATAAAATAATATTGCACACAAACTCAATTTTTTTAACTACACATTTCACATCAATACACTATTCAAAAAAATGCATTTTTTACAATGGGGGCTCAAACAAGCCCTCATTTTATTATAATGATGTATTTGGAAATAATAAATTGATAGAGAATATATGATTAAAAAATAAGGAAAAATTTTGAATTTACGTGTAATATTATTTTATTGAAAAATGTGTGAATGCAAAGGAAAAAAAATAATTAAAACAGGGCATAATTTCATCATATATAATAAATATACGAAAAATTATCCAAAATATCTA